GGCGGCTCCTCCGCGCCCTCGCCCTCGCTGTCCCCGGCGGCGGCGGCGGCGGCCACCGCCACCCCCCATCACCGTCCGGAAGCGGCGGCGGCGGCGCCGGGCGGCGGCGGCGGAAGGGGCGGGACGGGCCCGCCGCGGCCTCTCCGCGAGGGGCCCGGAGCTGTGCGGGAGGATGGAGGTCTGTGCACGGTCGGCAGCGTGTTGTTTAGACCTCGTAAGACAAAAAAATAAGTAATCCGTAATCCCCACAGAGACCAGCTGAAGGGAGACGCAAGGGTGTCTTGCGCATGCTTAGACCAGGCTAAGGGAGTAGTTCTCCTGGAAGATACCATAGAATATTTTTTTTCCCGTATGATCTTTCTCTCCATCGCTGGGAACTTAGTACAGCCTGGATGTGAGAAAGACACTAAATAGGATTTTTTAAATTTTTTTTTTTTTTGAGAGTAAAAACATAGAGTGATCCTGACATAATTTAAAAAGCCACCAGTGCAGTAATGAAAAATATCCCCATCCTTCATCTAAAGGCATGTGTCAGGACAAAATAGCAGAGAATGATTTACAGGAGCCTCGTCCTGTCAATCCTCATATCAATCCTCACATCAATCATTGCAAAACATTTCAGTTGCAGCATTATTCTTTTTTGATGCCCATAGGAAAAAAATAAATCAAAAGTGCAGCTGGCTGACAGCACTCAGTCATTTATCCACAGTGATCTGCAGCACAGATGTGAACAGCACAGATGACTTAGAGCTCCAGCAAGGCACTGTAACTTCGGGAGTTCCATAACCTATAAGTAATACAAATGGAGAGGATAGAAGGAGACAAACAAATTAGAAACAAATTGGTCCAGAAATAAATTTATTTTGTGTATCAACTGACTGTGGTAGCAGCCAGCCCTTTGCTGTAGTTTGCAGAATACTGAAATTTGCTTTGCTGATGATGTAATAAGTACGAGGTCCAAGACAAGCCTAAGTAAGTTGTAGCTTCAGTCGAAGTCAAAAGCAGGTGCCAGTGTAGCTCCATTAAGTTAATGACATTAGCCTTTTCAGATAATGTGGCCTTGTGATCTTCATTCTAAATGAAAAAAAAAAAGATCTTTCACAATGCTTATATGCTGCTGTAGTGAAACAAGGAAATTTTGCATTTCAAAGTGCTTCAAAACTGCATGAAGTTGTCATCATCAAGCAATCTAATGCAAATATCCACTGTTGTACAATCTCAGTTGTAATCAGCTATATACTGGATATTCAGATCAGAAACAAGCTGTGAGAACTGCTTTTTTCCACATGCCCTGATATTGGTTCTAAGGAGCATATCTCTAAGCAGTCTGTTCTGTCCCACTTTTATTTTTTTAAATGATGTGGTTTCCCAGAATAACTTGCTTAAGTTGGAGGGAATGTTCCACTTTCTTTGCCAGTTTAGCAGCCTCTGCAAACAATGTAGGAATCAAGTGTAATTTCAGTCCTCACAATGTTCCCCTTCTTTCTCTTTTTGATGTGAAATTTTCTTTACCAACTGCCAGTCAATCACAACTTTTTGCACACTTCCAGGTCCTGAGTTGGTAAAATTTACAATACATTGCTGCATTTGCTTGTGTCTGAACAACTTGTATAAGCTAAAAATGTAAAAATAAGCACAAACTGAAATTAAAAATTGCTGCAAAAATAACTGTAGCAGGCTGCAGGGCTGTCTCATCATGGAATAGGCCACCGTGACAGTGTCTGAAGCACAGTCCTGAAGCTAACTCACATTTCAGGTTCTCATTCTTAGCCTTCTCATGGGAGGTGCCAGGAAACTGCTGCTTTGTTCAGAGTGCTATGGCTTTGTGATGTGGTTTGTTTTTTCTTCATCTAAACATGCACAAGAGTCTACCAGCTCACCAGATTCGAGGAAGGAAACAAAAATTAAGGCAAAAGTTTCCTTACACAGTTTGTAGCAAGACCAGCAATCCAACCAAAAATTACTTCCCAAATTCAGTCTATAGACTTCAGAAGTCAAGGTTGGAAAATGAGCTATATTTACACAGGCATGTGAATACAGGACTATCTGGAGTTTACAGGCTCTAAGGTATGTTATTCCAGCAATTGATTTCCATGCAGTGAACCCCTGGCCAAAAGTTGCATCCAGAGTAAAAGTGAGTAAGACAGACAGACATATATACACTGGAGAGCATCCTGTGTCTGGCTACGGAGGGTGCTGGGCTGGTTTGCAGCAGTGATTTGCCCAGTGACAGGAAAAGGAGGAATGGTCATAAACTAAAACACAAGAAGTTCCACCTCAAGATGAGGAAGAACTTCTTTACATTGAGTGTGGCAGAGCACTGGAACAAGCTGTCCAGAGAGGTGCTGGAGTCTATCTCTCTGGAGACATTCAAAACCCACCTGGATGTGTTCCTGTGTAACCTGCTCTGAGTGACCCTGCCTTGGCAGGGGGGTAGGATTGGATGATCTCCAGAGGTCCTTTCCAACCCTAACGAATCTGTGATTCTGTGAACCTCAGCACTGGAAAAAGGCTTGATGGTCAGTTTCTATCCAAAGTTATTGCTAATGGCATTTTTCTGTTCTGCCTATGTTCGTCACCTAAAAAATATTTTGAAAATTACCAAATTAGCTTGCACAGAAAAGTAATAAATAGCATAATTTAAAACTTGTATCTCAGATTAAAGTAGATGTGTAATAGCTGCCTAGCTGCTGCACTTCCAAGCTGAAAACTACTTCTCTTTGCTAACAATTGATGTTCTTTAAAAGGGTGAATTATCTAGTTTGTGCTTTATTTAACAGAAATTTCCAATAAACCTCATTCCTTCACTTTGAGTTATGTCACTTCATGCCATGTGATATGAAGGCATTGATGTAAGTTTGACAGGCAGTGCCAATGCTGACATGTCAGTTTGAGAATTTATGACAAACTCTATGCTTCAGATCTTTTTAAAACTACTATGGATTGCCAAGGAAAAAAACTCTTTAAAATGTGTAATAACACTGATGCATCTTTAGATTGAAAACAGTTTATTCTATTCACATAGTTAGATTGATTTAATGTTCAGGATGACACTTAATACAATAAAAGAAATTTATATTGAAAATTCCCAACTAGCTCAAGTTACAATATATTATATAGCAAAGGAAAATGAGATGCATTAATGAAATGTTTTGGGTTTTTTTTAAATACTGTCATTAAAGAATACTGTTAGCATTTAATAATTTGAAATAATCTGTCTCAAATTTTAAGACCCTACACAGGAAAAAAAGGCCTCAGCTTTATAGAGAAAGAATTGCTTATGGAAAATCTCAGCCAGCAAAGAATACAATACGGCAAGGAGAATGTCTTTCACTAGAAGTGCTAATTGATCTAAATCGTGCTCTTTTCTTTTTTCTGGGTTGGAGGATGTGTTGATTTGGTAATATCATTTTTGCACAGATCGGGTCCTGCCCTATAATTTCTTTGTAATCTCTTTACTTCATTTGAAGAATACTTAGGTCAGTCATGTGTGAACTTTCAAGCATCTGTTTTATCTTCAAATTTCCTAATTCTGTAATGAAAGAAAAATAGATTGAATGCCTAAGGGCTAATCAAAGTAGTGAATCATAATCATTTTTCAAGACACAAAATGAGCTTATTAGAGGAGAAAAAAAAAAGGGGAAAAAAAGAATTAACTCTTTGTGATCATCAGACAAAATTGTTTCATATGTTAAAAATACATTAATATTGTGGAACACCAGAAAACTCTGTCTCACTTAGCATTTACAAAAATGTACCAGAATTCAAATAGTTCAATCCTTCTTCAATAGTTAGCCATCCCCTGAAAACAGGCTGATGAGTGAAATGAGAAGATCTTTTGCAGGTGGAGATATTGTATCTATAGAACCCTAGCTAGCTGAACTTCCATTCTGTAATGTTTTCCTTGTAAAAGCTTTCTTCTTTCAGGATATGTGAAAGGAGCCTGATTTTGGCTCTGTTTTCATTAGAGAGATGGAAAGGTGTCACAGGCATGGCATCAGTTAGAACTGATAGCACTAATTTCAATAGAAGAAATAGAAAAGCTACCATGAATTTCCTGTTCTCAACTGCTGTGCGTTTTCCCGATAATGCCATGCTTTGGGCTACTAGAGCACTCCATGGCAGCTTACACTTTTGCTACCTAATATATTATTAGCCAGGGAATGTTTGCTTTAGATTATTGCAGCAAGTACTACCTGCAAAGTAATCACAAAGGCATAGTCCAATTAGAAGGATGCCTTCTGTTGCTTGTTTTGAAATTAATCATGCATTAATTTCAACTGAGACAGCACCTACTGTTCATATATAATTACACACAAATGTTTGGTTTAGAGCTGCCCACCATTCCAACAGCCAGGAGAACCTCCAAATTCTTGGAATCTCGAAAAGTGCCTCCTGCACAGAAAGCTAAATTTGCCTCTATTCAATGTGAACATATATCAGTTTGTTGCTTTTTACATTCATCCTTAGTAGATTTAAAAGGGCCTGGAAAAAAGCACAGATGTAGAGAGGCAAATGTATCTGAAAGCCAGATCTCTGCCTACTGTCTGTTTCAAAGGCAACTCCTGGCTAAAAAAGGTCAGTAACAGAGCTTTACCAAAGCCATGCTTGCAGACTATTAAATGTTTAGAAGATGTTAGATGTGGAATGTCAGTGTTTTGAAGCAGATGGCTGCGTGCCATACAAATGTTAAAGGCACTCAGGACTTGGAGATTATTTTTCTGGAGTTCACATTTTTCTGTTTGTCATCTCTCATGCTGCAGATGAACTTTGAATTCTTAGTCAGTGCATTTGGGGTAGAGGCCAATAAAAGTTTTGCAGCTGAAAAGGGATAAACTTAAACATGACTGTCACCTATTTGACAGAACTTGATTGGCAATAAATGGGCTGGGGTTACATTTAAAAAAACCTCATAGTAAAGCCTCACTTTGAGTCTCCACCCAGAAACCTGAGAAAAGTAAACTAAATTGAACAACTTAACCTGCTCAGTCAGTTAATTTTCCTCACTCTTGAGCACAAATCAGTCAGCTTAAAAAGCACTAGTTTACTGAAGGAAAAAAAGAAGAGCAAAACAGAAAAACAAGGTAACATATTAAGGGCATATACCTATTGCTTGTAGTACAGCTTGAACCATTTTTCAGTCCTCTCCTCTGCTGGACCTGACCAGCTGATTGCCTCACTCACAGCAGAGCCTGACTGCCTGTCCCACTGCCCCCTCTAAATAAGCACTGCAGTGCTGTTGCTTGTAGTTTCCCTTATTTCACCTTTTAGGTCAGAGCATATATGGCAGGGGCAAGTAACAAGTCTCTTTGTATACAGGATGCTCTTAAGCAGTTTCTTCCCTAAATCCACAGAATATTAGTAATTTCTGCTTCATGGGATATTCTATACAAAGTCACTTTGTTTCCTCTTCTTGCAGATGGCTTTTGCCCTCTGATGCTGGAAACTATAGCATTGTATTATGGTGATCTCTCACCCTGAGTACTCCTAAGCATAGTTAATTAGTCCAGACTTTAATACCCAGTTTGAAATGGCTCTCCATTATATGTCTCTTGATAAATTAAAGCAAACCTTCTCTCCATCATAGTATATAAATGCATGTAGAATAAAGGTGGCTCAGACCTGACCGAGAGCACTTTTCATTCATTGCCTTTTTTTCCACAGGGGACACTATCAGCAGCAAGCTTCTCCTCTTGAGTCACCTTCTCTGGTGGACTGCCAGGCTTACAGAGAAAGAGCATCACTGTTTCTTTTGTTTTGCCTTGTAGCTCCATCACTGACAGTTTTACAGCCCCCTGCCAGGAGTCACACATCCTGCACAGGCACCATTGTATTTGAAAGGGCCCACTAATACTACAATTTGATAAGATGGGTCTCTAACCTGTGGCTCTCCAGACCTTCCTATATAAACTAACTCAGTGGCTCACAAGTTTCACCTGACAACCATTATACTCATGGTCTTTGTTCTCTTTTCAACAGAGGGAGGTATCATGCAATACATGGCAGGTGTATTGTATTAACACAGTGCTGAAAGAAGTGACTGCAATAGAAAACATTAAAAATATGAAGTACAGTTAAGCTCAGATAATTTTACTCTGTGAAAAAACACTAACTTCAAGAAATAAATTTCTCTAGATTATCAGTAATAGGCAAGACATAATCATCTGCTTGGTGTTTAACCTCCTGGTGACCATGTTGGTAGGACCTGCTGGTGCATTTCTGACCCTTTCACAGCTATGTTTTTAAGCACCTCAAAATAAATGGCAGACAATTGTTAATGGGACAGAGTTGCCACTCTATTTGCACTGGATAGGTTTCCATTTTTCCTTTATCAGGCCTTTAATTGCTTGTGATGAATGCCCATGCTCTGTCGAGGACGTGACTGAGGACCGTCACAGCCATGTGCTGGGGGGTGTCCTGCGGGCAGGGGGCTGCTGCCACATGTGACTGATGTGCCCGGTACCAGGGCTGCTCTGCGGGGACGACCCCTGAGAAAAGGACTGGAACAAGTAAGGATCCAGTAATGCCCAGTTTGGTACCTGCACCTGTTTGAACTGGCTGTGCTGGTCAGGGTACTGCAGAGGCGAGGGGCCAGCGCTGGGGAGGGGGCCCGGGGGCGGCTGCAGCGCAGGGACGGCCTGGCTGCCGGCACAGGCTGGCTGCCGGCACCTGCCCCAGCCCATCTCCAGCCCATCTCCAGTCTCCCCGTGACCGACCGGGGCTGGCAGCGTCCCAGCGCCCAGCGCCGGACTCCGGCCGGGGCAGCGGGGTCTCTGCCTGGCTCCCAGCATGTCCGGGGCAGAGATGCTGGACACCCAGGGACCTGCAGGCGCTTTGGAATGCACGGGGGACGTCCCCTCTCTTAAAGAAATCGAGCAGCTCCTGAACACCGGGCGGCCCTCTTGCAACCACGTTGATGAAGTATGGCCTAATCTCTTTCTAGGAGACCTGTAAGTACAGATTTATGGACACACCTCTGCCATACCTTCTGTCTGTTAATATGCCTCATGGGTGCGGCTTTACACAGCTCATAGTTTTCCTAATTGCTGTCATTTACACTGCAGACAGCACGATTTCCGAGATAAAATTATGACTCAGCTGGTACTTGCTTCTAGGCTAGCCCTTAGAGGCAATGCACAGCCTGATGCTCCAGCTTGGGAAATGCAGTCTCACAGTGCTACTCCTGATCTGTGAATGTCACTGCACCCATTTGATTTGTTTGTCTTTGTCTTTTCCTTAGAGTAACAGCTCACAACAGATTTGTTTTGTGGAAGATGGGTGTGACCCATGTTTTAAATGCTGCCCATGGCACAGTCTACAGCCACGGAGGCCAGGACTATTATGGAGCAACCATTCATTATTATGGTGTACCAGCCCATGACCTGCCAAGCTTTGATATAAGCCAGTTCTTTTTCTCCGCAGCACAATTTATCCACAAAGCCTTGAACACACCAGGAGGTATGAAATTATTGTTGGTCATATTTTTATGCAAGTTGGCAGCCTCTCATAACAGATCAGCTCCACAAGGTCAGTGGTGGACGAGTCACTACATGGTGTCCTGCTAGCTGCTGGTTACCTGCACGGTGGGTGGCAGGAGGAGGGAGTGCTGTGTACCTGGACGTAGCTCTAACTAGGTCCCAAAAAGCTTATGTGAGAAAAGAAATGAACAGTGCAGGGGAGACACTGGGATGGAGAGGGGAAGAGAGGGGAGGAGAATATCTGGAAGGAAGGGCTCATTCAAAAAGGGAGAATCAAAAACATGCATTTAAAATGAACACATTCTTTTGAGACCCTTTTATAGCAACTGTAGTTATAAGAACAAATTAATAAAGAGAAAAAAGTCCTGATTTCTACAATCACCAACCGTATGAGGAGGCTCATATATTGCAGATGAGCTTCTTGTTTGAACATGGCCTGCAGGGCTGTGTCCCCAAGGAGAAGAATTACCTTTACCCAAGGAGATTTATAGTGAATTGCACAAGAAACTGAGCTTCTTGGCAGTGGTACAATAAAATACTAATTAACCTGTTTTACATAAAAGATCATTTCTTAGCATGAATAAACTGGCATTAATGGAGCTCTCTCTATATCACAAGTTTTGCCTTCAAAATACAATTACAGTTGCATCACATTGCCTTATTATGCAATGGTACTAGGCCAGTCATTTTTCTTTTGTTAGTGCCATCCACTCAGGCCAAATTTGAGCATTTTTCTTCGCCTAAGTAAGCCCTTTGAAACCAATGGGTCTGATTTCCTCTTTCTTACAACAGAACAACTTCATTACTTCAACAGGGTTTTTTTCTGTGATTTGCCAGTGTTTCTGACATCAGGTGGGAATCTCATGGCGCTTCTTACACAAGCGAGTGTAACAATGGCAAATTAGAGTTAATTGTTAGCAGTTCATATGATCTATCAGAAGGGTAAGAAATACATCATGTTTGCAGTGTTACTCTGAATAAGCTGGAGAAGGCAGAAGGGCTTTGCCTTCCCTTTAAATTAAACTTCGTTCACTGTACTGCTTCTCTTCCATGGTTATAATTTTTTAATTTTTTTTTTTACCAGCTAAAATATTGGTACATTGTGCAGTTGGAGTAAGCAGGTCAGCTTCCCTAGTCCTGGCATATCTCATGATAAATCACCACCTCCCATTAGTTGAAGCCATCAAAACAGTGAAGGAGCATCGATGGATTTCACCCAATCGTGGCTTTCTGAAACACCTGCGAAATTTGGATGTTCAGCTACGGCAGAAGAAGGACTGCTGACTGGGCAAACCTATTTGCATTCACTTTACTGAGTTTCAGCCTTCATAGTCATTGTGCATACACAACTTCCTATGATCAGTGCATGTTACAAAACTGAAGAAAATTATGCATCAAAGTAAAAGGTCAACAGAACTGTAAATGGATTAATTTTGATAGCTCAATTCCTCCAAGACCAGCACAGCCAACACTGTAAGCACTGTGTGCTGTGGAGCTGCTGTGCCTACAGTGGCGCTACCATGTAAATCCACTAAAGTGGTTAAGATGGACCGAGTTTGTTCCTGGATTGTGCTAATGCCAGAGGAAAGTTCAGTAATTGCATCTAGCTCTAAAGGATGTTTGAATCCCCTTTACTTGGGAGGGTAACATAATCATCTTCATCAGTTTGGTTACAGTTCTCATATGCATGTTCTCGTAAGAAAAGCTTTTTGTGTTTCAGGCCTGGTTATGTGGCAAGGGCAGTTTCTTAAGAGCCCAGGGACTCCCACAGAAACATTCCTCTTTCACTGGTCTGCTAAATATTACAGTGCTATAGAGAGCTGTGACAGCCAGAAGACCCACACCAGCAGAATAAACGCCTGTGAAGTTCTCTGCAGTCTGGGTCAGCAAAACCACAAATCTTTTCTTGTTTAATACGTTTTCAGCAAGATAATGTATATCATGTAGTATATCGAGGACATTAAAAAATGTCAGGTCTCTGAAGCATTTTGTAAGCTTAAACTCATCAGTTCGTTCTCACTCCAAATTATCCCAGATCAGTTCTGTGTCAGTGGCTTTGAATCATCCCTGGTTTAATATCAGGTAGAAGCTTAGCTTACATCAGTAGCTTGGCTTAATTGATACAAATTAGTTTTAAGCTGTTTTGAGCATGTCACTTTTCCTATCACCAGTTAATCGGTACTTAAACCGATGTGATTTTTAATATAGCAATTGCATTTGAAATTCATGCTACCACTCTGACTGAAAATTAGCTTGTTACCTTGTGGTGAACCATGAAGTGATAATCAAATTTGGTTTTGCCCTTTGCTACTGGTTTGATTTATTGCTTAGTTGACCTTATAA